CTGTGCCCCCCGCATCCGCCTCTATCCCACAGGAAATTGCCATAAGCACGCACACAATGTTGGACAGAGAAAAGGAGAGCATTTGCACAATTTACATGAAATTGGTTTGCACTTAAAGGCAGGCAGCCGCCCCTCGAACCGACCCCATGCACTTAGGTATATATGAACGTACTCTATATGTGTATGTTTTGTAGACTCACTCATATAGTCGCATTTGAGGGGCTCGGGTGGGGGCTCGTTGAACTGCCTGAGCCAGCTCATCAGCGTTGCCAATTTGTTGCGCTTCGTGTGGGTCCGCTCGCAATTCAGGACCGCCTCAGAGTCACACTCGAAGCCGGGATTGAATTGGCCACTGTCCCAGAACTTCTGCACGGCGTTGCGATACATTGTACGTGGTGCAGCTCTCAACAGGTGTCAGCAAACTGACGAAAAAGGAATACCTCGCAAAGGTGTTCTGATTGATAACTGGGCCTCGCGCAGGCAGCCATAAATTTGGCTCAACCGCCGATAACAAAGACCAAGTTACATGTCAATCAAATGTGAACTTCTTTTCATATTTTCCTTCTTTTTTTTATTCGTTGAGCAGGCAGACAAAATCCCAAACTAATTTCTGCTGTCATTATTCATAATAAGCGCTGAAATCAAGGCTCAGACAAAAGCAGGCCCTGATATTTATGGCTCTGGCAAGTAATAATTCACAAAAATCCACAACAATGGAAATCGTAAAATTCTGGAATTTATTTGTATAAAATTGTATGGCAATGGTATCATAAAGTGTATTTCGTTTGGGGTGCAATGAAGCGAATTATTTTACGCGGATCCACATCTCGAGCATAATCAATCGAAACACTTATAAAGCTTATTTTAAAATAAACGAGAATAAAATTTATTTCAGAAAATCAGTTATATCCTCCCAAGAATGTTACAACGAGAGCTCACATTCTTGAAATTTTCCAATATTTCTTAATTTCTTTTAGTTTTTTTCCTTTATCTAGTTTCATCCACGCCCACAGTCTTGCGATACATTATTGGGACCATATTCCAATGGCCTTGGTCAATTTGTTCGCTCTTTAATCCGTTTTATGGGAAGCGGAGCCATGCGAATTCGCAAGAATTTTTAGTTTGTGAAGTATTTTTTGTGAGATTTACCCAAAAGCATTAATCATCCCGAACGATTGCAACAAATCAATTATCCACAAACACAAAGATTCATCCCCTGACTCTGGCTTCAACTAATTTTGGGCGTCCCTGGGCTTGGCCCCGGCTCATCAGAACAGCTTATCACCATCGCTCAAGTGATGAGCGTCGAAACTTTGTCGCAAAAACCAACAAATTGTGAGAGGCAAAGTGGGCAGAGAGGGCGCCTAGCGACAGAGGGAAAGCGAGCGTGAAGAGCTGTTAAGAGCAGCTCCCTCTTGCCGGTGTCAGCGATTTTTCACTTTAACAGCTTTGCATTCATCTTTAATAAGCGGCATTGAGAGCGTGCCTGTATGTACATATAATGGCGTCTTTTTTTGTGTGTCTGTGCAGCATGAAAACTCAATTTGGTTTCTTTTTGGGCTTGCCTTGCTTGCCTTTCCCTTATTGCATTTGCATGCTGAACAAAGTTTCCCCAAGAAAATGGCATAAAATCATACAAAATTAAACAAATGAGAGGCAGTGCGGAGGGAAAATCTTGCTGGGATTAAGAAGAGTAAAACTTTTCCAACCAATTTTCTTTAGCATAACTTGTGAGCGCGATTTGAGGTAATTTTCCGGTTTTACTGAGACCTATTTGAGCTCTTTTTGGTTCATACTGGGAGAGCCAACTGCGTCGAAAGTTTTTAAAGAGGATTATAAGAGACCATTATAATTTAATCGATATCTCTCCACACTGAACTTTAGTACCAGACTTCCAAATCGTAACACCTAATAAATGTAGTCACTCCCCGCTCTTTAAATCTTCAATACAGAACATACCTATCTCTCATGAATCACCCAAAACATTGGCATTCCCAAGACAAGCCATTCCCAAAAATCTCGGAACTTATGCGAAGCAGCGGATACCTACTGAATCCTAAATGAATACTAAATTTAAGTATATATGAAGATCTATAGAGAAGTGACCCATTACATAGCTATTTATTAATATATTTTTTTACTTTTTGTGGATATATTCGCGTTACCTACAATTTATACCACCCCAAAGTCAGTCTTTCATTTACGTGACCCTCCATTGAATGCATTCTCAGCAGGGAAGTAGGGATGGCGTTGTTGGGTGGTAAGTAAGTCGGAAATGGGTGCTGCAGCATCAGGATTCATGCTTTGGCATTCACTTTATTTGCGCATTTCTTCATCATTCGTTCGACGACAAGAGAAGATTGTGAGGGAGGCCAGGAAAAAAGTTGGGACTACCGCGACTGTGAGCGCGGCCAGACCATCAATTCCACGTGTATGTGGAGGCTTCAGCTCCACCATCGTAAATGGATACATTTTGTGGCTCAAGGAGGGTTTTATGGAGTCCTTAACCAGGCATATGCATTACAGATTTTTATTGTTAGATTTCCCTTGAATTATTTGAGTCCTCCCCACACAAACAATATGCATATGTACATATAAAGTATATAAATGGAAAGCACATTTCTTTATAGCATTTTTGGTCGCTGCATAAATAAATCTGAGCGTGAAGAGGCTGCCAAGTGGATTAAATATGAAGCAGGGGAGAGAAGCTATAAAGGGAGGAACCAGCCCAGAGCATGTCTGGGCACTTGGGCACTAAATAGAGCATGAAATCGAAGGAGAAGCCCCCAAGATTAACCCATACCCAAAGTGAGCAAAGAAATATTTATAGTTTAATTGACAAACAAAGTTTTTATGGGAATGGATCTAAAGAGTATCTGGCAAATGAGGCGAAAAGTCTGCTATAAATATTTGGCCCGAAATACTTTGACGGGCTCAAACTCAAATGCATCAGAGTGCAATTATCCCCAACTTAGTCTGCGATGAATTGAATGAATCCAGAATTGGATTTTTCTAAAGCTGACACAAGCTAAGGTCTGTTCTGGCTGACCTGCTACAACTGCAACAACAGTCTGTGTGAGTCAGCTATAATGAGGTTGACCTTACTGCGGTCTTGCCCTTTGCCTGTCACTGCCAACTGCATGGCAATCGGACCTCCAATGGACAGAGTCCAAGGATGAGACGAAAGCGGCGAGAAAAAAAACTAAATGAATGTATCAATTGGTGGAGCCAAAGTTCTGTCAAAGTTCTTGCCAAAGAATTGAACACCTGCAGTGGCAGCGGCAATGGCAGTTGCAATCTGCATCTTTGTTGCGGATGCAATTGCTTTGCGGCCGTTGGCAGAGTCATAAATTTTGATAAATGAAGTGGGATGCCATGTCGCCAGCTAGTTATCAATGTAACCATTGTCCGAGCTGAGTAAGTCAGTCCATCCGTCCGTCCTTCCTGTTCGCTGCATGTTTGGCAGAGATCCAAGAAACAAACACCCACTCAATGATTGTTGCTGCTGCTGGGATACCCTTTTCCATAGCCAAAAGGTCTTTAAGCCTCTGAAGTGCATCCAAATTGTGTTGCTGTTGTTTCGTGAGTGGCATGGATGCCGTTGGCTTTCCTTCTAGTTGGCTTTTCAATTTACTGTTTGTTTGCGTTTTTCTATGGAATTTCCCATTGTTGCATTGCGGTGCAATTGCTGCTTCTGTTTCACGTTTTCCCGCTTCTCCTGCTCTGCTTGCTCACCTGCAAAAATGCTGCTATGCATATGCAACAGCTTCTGAAACGTTGCATAAATCATACGCAGCGTTGCACGCTGAGCGAACGTTTCCGTTGCCTACTTCAGGGGGTCGCTGCAGGAAGGATCTAGGGGGTTGTTTATTACCCCATTTATTGACTTTTCTGTGCGCCTTGGGCAAAAAATTTAATTAACCAGAGACGGAAAAAAACAAAGAGATTGGGGCCAGATTAATTAGTATCACACGGTCCAGTGCTCTGTCACAATTACGAGCCTGCCCGTTCCAGCCTGAAACTCTTTTCCGTTTCTGTCCTAGACGGTGCTCTCATTTGTGTGTTCATTAAATTGGTTAACAATCATCTGGGAATTATAAACTATTGACGAGGCATCTGTGAGAACAGATAAAAAAAATTGATAAATATTGCAAGCTGATATTTCAGAATGTAAAATGTGGAACCTAAAATTGGTACGATAGCATAGCATAAATAATTTAATCTGAGAGAATGCCATGAATGACAAAGTGGTCCAACCTGTCCGACCTGCTGCAAGGCTTGAAGGAACTTTTTCTAATCCCATAGATAAAACCCTTGCTGTAATCTTACTACGAGAATACTCGTACCAACAATTTCATTGAAATCTATTTTGGTGGCATTCAAATCTAGTTCTGTGATCTTTAATATAAGCTTTGCCGGTTTTTGGGGCTTTCGGTGTATCAGCGCTGACAAATTGCCAATCGATTTTGAAATGCCAGACAGCGTCGGTCTTTGTGACTATCAGTTTTTCCTCTCTGCCGCTCTCTACGCTCTATATCTATGTGTGGAAAGAAAAACAAAGTTTTGTTTGCGTTTTGATGATTGCCGAAGACAATGAAATGGCAATCAAAGTCACGTGCCACCCATTGCCAGCTGCAAAAAGTTGCATGCAAATTTGTTCGACGGGAAGAATGAAATAAAAGCGGGGGAAAATATGGGAAAGAAAAAGAACGGAACGGAACGAGACGAGACGCATAAAGCCCACAGAAGCTAAGGTAAAAATATATTTTCGCAACTATTCGTTTTGATTGCCGGGAACAAATGGTTCGATTGGATGCCTAGACCTAGACCCAGAACAGATCAAAACCCAAAGAGAACAACCATAACAATTACATGCCAAAACCGTGTCCCATGTGTTCATTAGCCCGTTTAGTGTCAGGTGAGACACATTTCACAGATTTACCAGATTTTATCTCTTCTTCTTCTTTATTTGATTGACCCTGACCTCGATCACGACTTACCTTTGTTGCTGGGTCCATTGGCCGTCTGCAGCGAAGACATTGGTATGGCCAGGCAATTGCGCCCTGGTGGCGGCACCGTCAGGTCCAGATCCTGTGGCGGCTCGGAGCGCGGACATGGCGTGTACGCAATCTTGCTGCCACGTCCGGGCGTGGGACTGACCCGGGCATGACGGCCACCGGTGACGGTGCCTCCGCTGCCGCGTTCGCTCATCTCTCCCCTGCACTCACGCTTTTACTGAGCGGATAAATGCATATTGCAGCGGCATCCGTGAGCTCTGCCCCAGAGCTGGGAGGGGACAAGAGGAGCAGCTAAAGCAGCAGCCTTGTGGTTGACTTATGACATGTGGCAGTGGTGGTGGTGGTGTGGCATGGCAGCCCGCATCCGGCTCTTTTCTTGTGTGTTGTCTCGATGTCGATCCCAGGCAGTTTATGTTAATGCTAATGCACGGATTCCAAATATCTTCGGGGTGGGAAAGGTGGCTTTTAGCGCTCGGAATAGCCTGAACTTTTGCATTCAATTGGCGGAGGCTGGGTGAGGACTGCGACCTGAGTGCACTCGTGAATGGCTACCGAATGAGCTGGTTTAAGGGTATGCGGTGTGGGGATGTGGTACCTGACCGTGAGCAAGGCTAAGGATAAAACACGCGGCGCAAGGACAAGGACACGGGTATACAGCCAGAAGCAGCGGCAACAGTAACGGCAACGGCAACAAATCGAAACTTTACAAAATCCAAAACTGCACTCTGCTTCACTCACTGTCAATGCAACGGCAACGGCAATGGCAATGGCAACACGGGGCTACGGCTACGGCTACACCAACAACATCTGCCACATCCACGTGCGACACAGTCGACTTGCACTGCTCGATGTCCTGTTGACGACTGAGACGAAGGCGGAAAGTGCAGCCGCAGTCACAGACTCGGGCGTACAGTGGGAACAAGAAGACGACGAAGAGGCAGCGGAAGACGACAGCTTCTCGTGAGGGCATAAAAATAACACGATGCCAAATGCCGACGACGACGATGACACCAATAACAACGACAAAGGCCGAAGCAAAGCAAAACAAACAAAATACTCGTACAACAACCCACCAACCCATCCCCATCACACTTCGCCCATGTGTCCGTCTCTCTCACGCTTAGAATCCAGCTGATTATTTATTTTACTCGCAATATTTTAAATTTATAATTTTTTCTATTTTTTTAAACACGTTTAAATTAATTTATTAATATTATTAAATGCACGATTTCTGTAAATTTTATTTTCGTTCTCTTTCTCGACATGTAGTATGTATTTAAAACTACTACGTCAACTACATATGTAAGTAAAAAGCGCGAAAAAAGCTTTCGGCAGTAGCTTTTCGGCTGCATGTGCAGATTTATAAATAAATAGCCTATTTATGGTGGTAAATTAAAAAAATCAGTCTACACTTCTCCAATGGTGCTACAACAGGATAGAAATATTAGTGCTTTACATGAAATGTAATGGCATGTAGCATGTAATGTAATGTATATATAATGTACATAATGTTTTGTTTTTCGCCGTTTATATCACGTATACGCAGACTCCTGTTATAACCACGCATTAGTGCCAGCTCCTACAAAAAGGACTCTGTTATGTTTAACAGAGATTTACCGAGTCAAATCGGGCTGCCACAGCTGTTAAGATGAATTCACTTTTTTTGACCTGACCAATTTTCTCAGATCTAATTTTGAGGTTGGTTTAAATAAAAATTATAAAAAATTATAAAAAGGGCACAAGCTCAATTGCACTGGTGATGGTGTTCAATTCATGTCAATGCATCATTAAGTCATCGATTTTTTTTTCCCCTTTTGCAATCAGGATTTGTTTAGTTGTATAAAAGGCTGAATACAAAATATTTTGTATTCTATTTTGAGCCCAATAAGGAAAATATTTTAAGCTACAAAAGCCCTGTTTCCGCCAGGATACTCTGTTGCAGTCGACTTGCAATACTGGTTTAAGTTCACTATTAAACTACACCCTTCCAAAATATTCCCACATCGCCGAAGAGGATTGGCAAATAAAAAAATTACATTTCTCATTTAGTTTGTATATTCTGTTTTTGTTTTTATTGTTTTTAGTTCTTGCCTGTTAAGTGAATAGAATTATTATTAAAATTGTTATTTTAGGTTCATATCGGTTTCTGCTTGTGTTCTCAGATCACACGGATCGAGTATGGAATTAGTTGTGGCATTTGATTCTCTGTTTGTTGCTTACAGTGATCTGATTAGGGGTAGCAGTACCACCCTAATACTTTTCGCTTGTTCTCACTGCATTGTTCTATTTAATAATGTCTCTTGAGAAGTTCGTTGATACAAACAGCTTCAGTTCCAGTTGGATATTAATATTCAATCAGTTGAATTACAATTTAGGGCTTAGAAGTTACAGTTCATATATAAGTTTCAGTTGAGTTTTTCCCATGGGATGAAATTATAGTTTTGATTTAGGTGTTTTGATGTGACTATATAGTTATGACTGCAGCTGTACTGTTGCACTGCACATTGTGGTAGGTAAAGCTTTAGGTATTTCAATATATCGTCGATACTCGTTATATAATGTTTAACAATTATGCTCACTTAGGTCTAAAACATTTCAATTTGTCGCTTCAGTTCGGAAATACCGGAATATTTTCAGTGTATGTGTTTGCCGACCAAGATTAAAATTAAATAAACACTTAATATTAATACTGAAATTAAGATACAGCAAATATAGTCCTTTGGGTTTTCAGAACGCTACAAATATCATGATAATTAAAAATAATATTAAAATCAAGTCATAAAACCATTCTTGTCAGCAGTATTTATCACTAAATTGTATACATACTTTATATTTATTCAAAATGCTTTAGTATCTATATGTATATCTCTTTTTGCATGTCCTATAATATCCAAATACATACATATATCGTTTAAAATTGAATTCGTTCAGTGCCTACAATTGCTTTCCACACATATTCAGATATCGGATTAATAACACGCCTGACAATTAATTGTTCAAATAGCTGAAGGAATCGTTCAACGTCGGTATCAATACGGGGTTATACAGGATTCGATTATTCTCGTAGACATTTAGTGCAGTTCCGAATTAAGGAAAAGTGTGGGGGCCAACTACTTGCCTGGGTTATAGGTACATACGGTTATGGTATATTGGACATCAAGAATAACATTCATATTTCGTTATATATAACATATTTATATAGACGAATTTCTTCATGATGAAATCTCTTGTTTGGTGGTTTATTGGGTATACATTACATGTATTACTTCTTAAATTCTTATCGCATTAAAGTTGTGTGCGCAAATGTCGTGCCTGGGCCTGGGGGTTTCTCCAGTTCCAGTTTGGGGGCTGGCCGCAGATCCTTGACTATCCATCCCTTTATACGAGTATGTATGGACTCTGGCTACAACTTAATTAACTTGACTTTGGAGCTCAGTGATAATCATCAACTACAGCAAAGGCAAACACACAAGTGGGAATAGCATCCTTTGAGTCAATTCGTATCAATGAGAGGGAATGATGAAGCTGTGTGTCTGTAGAAATTCTTGTAAGCCAATCTAGAAACCAGAAAAGTTCCCAACAAAATAAAAAAGAAAATAATATAATTTTTTTTGGTCGAAAAAATAAAACAATTGGTTTTTTGTTTCGAGGTTTTTAAAATGTTTGTGTATTTTTTTTCAAAGAAATTTCTGTTTGTTCTTGTTTATTTGTTTGTTTGCTGATGCATTCCATTTTTTTCATGTTCTGTTGCAATTTTTACAATATTCATAAATATATTTATATATGTATATATAGCATTTTTCATATATATTTATGTTTATAGATATAGGCGCAAGTTGTTATTTTTGTTTCTATACCCTTTAAAATATTGTAAGTTGCTAAAAACATATTTTTTGTTGTTTGCATATTTTAACAATTTTCGGTTTGGTTTTTTAATAGTATTTCATTTAGTTTAATGCCTTTTGCTTTGCAAACGAAAATAAAAATTGATGCACGTTTAGAACTGGAAATTGTGAAATCGGAAAAGCCAGCACTTTTGCTGCAAGATAAATCTGCTGCATACTTTCAAGGGAATGGACCACCTCCTCGAATGCAAAGACTCAGCTCGCTGCATCTGACTGCACTGGCTTTGGCCGTAGCTTTTGTTAGAACAATTACGTTTTCATTCCAAATTTAACAATTTTTAGAGTTGGAAAAAATTTGTGTTTGCCATTTGCTTTCAATTTTTTTTTAGATTTTGTGTTATAATTTCATTGTTTTAAAACGCACAAATTTTCGCTACAAAATGTTTTCATTTTTGTTTGTTAAAAAAAGTTATAGAAAAGTTTTTCGTTTTTTTGTTTCTTTCATATCTTTAGCGCAAATGGTGTTTTTGTTTTAGTATTTTTTTTGTTGTTGCCCTTCAGCTTCCTGTCCAAAGTCAAGCAAACAAAAAAGATCAAATTTCACTTAAATATTATATTATAAAAACACGCAAGAGTTTTGTGTTCTTTTTATAACGTTTAAGTTATACTCACAGTTTATTTATGCAGTGGAGAAGAGTTAGATTTAGCATTAGAAAGAGATGCTTTGATCAAAGTAGGATGGTGGGTGGCTGGATGGGTGTGTGGTGATGTATGGATTTATCGGTGAAAAGACATTACGACGAGTTCGGTTTAGTTCAGAAAAGGAAACAAGGTTTTCGATATGAAATTAAATTAAAACCAAGTACAGTTGTGTACAAATTACAGTTTGCTTTGGTCGCGCAGACTTTCTTCTTGTTCATTCGTTAATTAGGCAGCAGTACACAAAGAGAGAAAGATAGGCAGATAGATAGACAGATAGATTGATAGTTTTTAAGGTTGGGTGGAGACAGAGCGGGTAGGTTAAAGCTTGCTGTTTGCTGTGGGTGCCCAAGGGGTTCTTGTTGTAGTTAATTGGTTGTTGCTGATTGGTTGGATTTCCCTTAATCTTAAACCTTTATGTTTATATATTAGAATATATGCTAAGCTTAGTTGTTGGCTCCGTGTCCTTTGTCTAAGTTTGATTTGGTGATCGTGCTTCTACCGTTTGCATTTTGTTACATTTAAGACAATTGTCTTTGCATTTTTCTAGTTTTGTTCATATGTATAATTTATTTATAAATATATATATATATATAGTATATATAGCTGCTTCTTAATCTCTGCTTTGATGCTGCTTCTTCGCCATCGTCTTTGGTTGTTCTTAAAAGTTGTCTTATTTGGGAGCTGCCGCTGTTATTGCTGCTCCCTTTTTGGTTTTCTCCTCAATTCTTCTTCCTTCCTTCCTTATATATGTGTGTGTTTGATGAAATCGTCTTCTTCCTGCTCTTCGTCTAGCTCTTCCTCTGCTTCGTCTCGCATATAAATATTTAATTTATATTTCTTTATAATAAAATTATATTACCTTTATTAGTATTGTATTTGTATGTATATATAGATTTTCCTTTGTATTTATATATGTATATAATAGTAAATATTTTTGGTTGCTTGTTGTTGCTGCCTTAAATACTAGAGAAATGTGTATTTTAGATGCTTATTTACTTTTGGGAGAGTTTGCTTTGCTAAATGTTAAATCTGCCCATATATGGATATATGTTTGCTTAAGTCTGCTACAAATATCGCCGACAAATCAGCTGTCTATCAAGGACCTTCGGACTGTGATCCTGCTGGCCCTCGTACAGCCCCCAAAAATATGCCTGTTCTGCTGCGCGCCAGACATATGTATGCATATAAGTCGTATATATATACATATATATATGGATCGTATATATATATATATATATCATTATTTTGGTTTTATTTTTAATTTTATATCGAAAATGTATTTGTAGTTGGTTTTTCTTTTTGTTTTTTTTTTTAATTTTTATTTGGTTTTATTTTC